CTGTGTGACTTCTTCCTCTTCCCAAAGATGAAATTTCAGCTAAAGGGAATTAGATTTGAGACGATAGAAGAGATTCAGGCAGAATCGCAGATGGTGCTTGACAGGCTGACAAAGAAAGATTTCCAGGGATGCTTCCAGGCTTGGCAGCGGCGCTGGGATCTTTGTGTTCACTCCCAGGGGAACTACTTCGAGGGTGATGGATGAATTTAATACCTGAGATAAGTGTACGGGTTTTTATAGGCGCAGTCTTGAAACTTTCCGATCGCACCTCGTATATAGAATTGGCGGTTAATACAAGCATTTTTTTAACTTTCAGTTACTAAGACGCCAAACGTGTACCTTCTGGTTACAATAAAGTCGCCATGGAGTTCGTATGTCTGAGCACCACGTTGCGAAGGCGTATAAGGAGGTCGGAGATAAGCTCCACATATTCTTACTTCTCCGTACTGGATCAAAACTAGTCACTAGTTTCACGTTTCGGCCGTTCTATAATCGAGGAGAAACTCCCTTGTACTCATTTTAAAGGAAAATGGGTGAATTTGAAGTCCGTGTGAATATTGTGCCGACAATAAATATACCTAATACGACGAAGTCGAAAGACTATCCCTTGGCCAATCACGAAGAAGTTCGCCAATGTTTCAAATATCACTTCTGCCTCATCGCACTGATGATAGAGGCAGCAAGGACCTCTGAAACGTTGGTAAAATTCTGCCACATTACGCGGCGCGACAACCCAGAAGACCCTACTTACAGGAAGACAGTCATCTTCATAATCGACGCCGTGAAAACGCTTCCAAAAGGATATTTCCCAAGAGGATCCTCTGCCCACTGTTTCGCTCATCATATCTGCACGGTCACCCCATAGCAGAAACTATCACTAACCTATAGGGGCTACCCGTTTCAGCCGTATTAGCACGACCAACACTTTAAAAGCCGAAAAAATGTACCGCGTCTTATTGTAGTGGTACAGTGATATTCCATACACTGCAACACAGCAGAATCGATCAGGCAAAATGCATCGTTAGCCAGCTATATGAACCTTGCAATCGCGGCGAGCTTAGCAAAGCTAACGATGCCTGAACCATTGAAAAATGAATATTTTGTACGTCCTAACCTTTGCAACTTTGTGGAGTAAAGGACGGGACTAAAGTGAAGTGAGTAGCAAACATTTTCATTGTTCTACTATGTAAAACGTCTCCCACAGATCTGCTTGTTACATTGCTGTTCCCAGCTCATTACACTTTTATCCATCCTAGGATTACTGCAGATCGTTCTATCACAGCTCTGTTCCTGGTGTTGGCTTAAATTCATATTTATATGCTTAGTTGTATCTGCGTTTACCTCTCGATAGAAATATATTTTCTTAAACACATGGACAGACTTCAAAATTCGCTATTTGAAATGTGTTGCTCCGAACTAAGAGTGATATAAACCAGTGCTCTGGACCTGCATGAAATGTTTATGTAACAGGCGATGCGAATATAGTGTTTGGATAACCTGGAAAGACTAAAGTGTCTAAAAGACCGTACAAGCAACAGGGAAGAAATGACTCACGCTTCTTTGGAGATGACCATGCTCATAGGAAGAAAATATAGTGCAGTCAGGAACTAGGCAGCAAACCGGCCAGTGCACCGGATGCCTAATTTGTATTATATTGCCAAACTTTAGGAAATAGTCCCACGTTCCCCGCAAAATCACAACGGCACAAAGCATGTCGACTGTTTTTAAACGTAAATTCGATAACCTGAAACATTCTCAGACCAATCTGACGTCACTCATGGCAGGTTCAAATGAAAATGAATGTTCCGCATCATACTGTGTTAAGTTTTCATATTGCTCGCTGCCGAGTATCGCATCCTACTTTTTGCAGGAGACATTGCTAAAGACGCCGTCTGTAAGGCGTTGAATATTATTAATAAATAATGAATTGGAAAAGACATTAAAGGAAGCTGTCGTAGCCTATTTAAAGGCATTATCCCAACATTTGATTGGAGGGACTGGAAAACTACGAAAATTATCAGTCAATGTAGCAGGTGTCTGAGCAGTGTTTTGAACTCGGGACAGCCCAAATACGAAGAAGGATGTCTGTGACCTTGTGGCTTTAGAGGTTAGCCTAACAGACATTTTTTTATAAAGGTAAGTGATGCGTGCTACATGCGCTTATACGAAAAGCTACATTTAGAGTCGCAGTTCAGGCTGATGGGAAGTCCCGGTCGCATTTTCTCGAGGTATTCTTAAACGTTCATATCCGTTTATACAGAGTGTTTTCTTCTGGAGGCGCGCAAAGAACAGGGTAAGAGGAGGCCGCTCTTTACGCCAAGTGGGGGGCGACGAAGCCCACGAGTTTGCTTCATGGCTGTTCTGTTTAGAAAACCCACTGTATAAACACCATGCGTCTGAGCTATGATGCGAAAATTCTAAATGGAAAGAGCTTACTGTACGTACTTAGACATTCAACTGAAAATTTTGCATCTCGAAGAATTACCTAGCCAAGGTACCGCATCGATATTAATCCTTTGCAGTACCTACAGCTGTATACTCACACACTTACGTATGTTCCCTGCGTGGTTTAACGAAATTGCACGTAAAAATAATTGTATTAGGAGCTGATAGATGTAATAGAATATAACCAGTTATTTTAAAGAGTGCAGAGACGGTTTCAAAAGATGATATGTTACTCTAAAGGTGCACTGTAGAGCAGTGTCTTCGACAGATGTCACTGAAGCAATATATTGTTAAAATAATCATCCATTACGGTACTGTGTAAATATTTAGGCTCACAAGCCACATCCGGCCCGATACAACTTGTAACCAGGCCCGCGAAATTATTTCTTAATTTGTTACTTGTTCCCACAAACTCGTTTGCCTTCTTAATTTTAAATTATTTTAAAAAAATCGTAATTCTGATATCGTCTGCTGTTTTACGTACAAATTCCACGCATGCTATTGAATTTAAAACCCTACAGAAAAATTTAAGTTTTCCAGGAACACAATTGTGTCACATTCAAACTACTGCAGGAACAAATTTAAAATAATATGTAATTCTACCGCAATTTGGGTCCAAAGAAAAACTATTCTTACCCAGTGAGAAGAAAAAGTTACACAACACTGATCTAGACGGTAATTTAATGACGAATTCATTGCAGTTCTGAGCATCAGGCCACTATATCCCTTTCCACCTCATATACAAAAATGTTGGCTACTCTCCACAACATGTAGAACAAAAATAATTTTCATTGCGAAGCGTTAAATCCCTGCGCTCTCGTTCTTGCTGATAGCCGTAATGGTTAAAATATTTTAGTAACATGACGTCATATCGCAATAAGTGAGCTATTTAAGTTCTGGAGTAAAATAAAACTTGCGGCCTGTATTGGGTGAAATGTGCGGACTAAAGCACTTAAAAGTGATTTTGGGACGTGCATAAGACTACCAACATGTAAAGTCCAGCTACATTCTAGCTGGACTTCAGTTTATTCTGAAAGTAGCCGTGCGCATGCGCGAGACTGAATAAAAGACGTAAGCCCAATGTGTCGATAGTTGAATTTAGTGTGAGCAAAAAATCTGTTAGAAGTCAATCCGAATCAAACAATGCAAACTGTCTTGACACACTGTGATATTAATTAATTAAGATCAGAGAATAAAATCAACACAACGTTACTCAACAGATTGCATATTATTTAATGAAATATTCAATATGATACTTATCCGGTAATTAATACTTGCATAAAATCCTATGTTTCTTAGTCTTCATTTCTGGCTTCAAAATGTATCCACCACGAAATAAACTAGATAAATGTGGCAATGATATTCGCCATCTTTGCGGAAGCTAAACAAACCTACCTTGTCTATTTATCCACGGAATAAGGTAAAGTGCCAACAAAATAATCATACACCTACTTACTCCAAGAAGTTTAATTCCAAATGCTAATATTTCTCATTCGGTTACAACTACCACGACTTCGTCAAATTCTGACCATCTACATTCTTATTGTTTGCACAGTAGATTACAGTCGCGAGCATACTTGAAATGTTACAGAAATCCAAACATATTTTTGACAAAAATTTGGAAATGTCCAGCTAAACTGGGGTCCGCAGTGGCCGCGCGGTCTGAGACGTGGGCCTTGTGCCGCTTGGTCGCTGGGACCGTGGGTTCGAATCCCACTCAAGCCATGGATGTTTGTCCGCGTTTTTCTGTGTTGTGCTGTCCTGTGTCCAGGTAGAGGCCTTTCGACGGGCCAATCCCTCGTCCAAGGAGTCCTACCGAATGTCTGACAGATCAAAGCCAACGAAAAGTTGGGACCCGCAGTGCTCAGGCACTTGAAGAACGGGTCGTTCCCAGTATCTCAGCTAAACAACAGAACAAAATAATTAGCGGGCTATGGATCGTTTCACGCAGCTCCGCGAACAGACATCAAACATGAAAAATATGTTGTGTAGATCCATTGTTGGGGAGCGTTAATTTATATTCATCACTTCACAGAGGACACTCGGTTATCACTTATATCCATCAGATAACTGTTAGAGCGCAAATATGTTGAACCAACATCCAAGATTTCTCTGGGTAACGGCGAAAACACTTATATCCATTGGTTTTCAGACAACTTCCTGTACATACTGGGTACTAAAATATCACACTAGACGCATCTCCAATCGAAACCAAACATATGTGCCCCAGAAGACCTACTTACTCTTCACCTATCCGAAATTTCTTCCCTCTAACCACACAACAAATCACACTCGACTCACTTCGGATATCTTCGCCCGCAGAACCGATACGTCTAACCGTCTTCGATACAGCCGAAGCACTGACAGCTGTTGACTGCCGCGATGTAACAGGGCCACCTACGTGTCCTCCGCGACGGATTCCGCAGATGAACCAAGATAACACCCAAGCGTCTCTGCTTCCCTCCCTTCGAAGTACACGTCGCCGATTTGACGTCACAACGGCAGGCGCACAGCATATTGTCAGAATAGAAAAAGACACGCCCCCACCAGAATGCAAATATGCTATGCTAATCTGTAATTACGCGAAACATTCTTTAAAATACCCATTTATGCATTTATGAATTTTTTTTTGTCAAAGACTGCGACTGCTTCGACGTCCAGGCTCGATTTCCGGCAGAGGGCAAATGTTCTCGTCCCCATCCCACAGAGAGACAAGCCTCTTACGTTCATCCAACCTAAAATCAATCGGTGCCATGGATTCTTTCTATAGAAATAAAGCGGCCGTTAGTACCGCCAGTATGGCGTCACAACCCAGTCAAACTTCCAACAAACGTAACGTGTGATTTTAGGTTTTCACGGCAGTGAGTATGATGATGATGATGATCTGGGTACTGCAGCCTTGTAGACTCGCAGATAAATTCCAACAAGGATGCCCTGAAGATGAAGTGCATATGTTTCTCCGAAACGTTGTCGTCTACCAACGAGTCTACTCGGTGTCAAAACCAAGAACATCAAACTAACGTAACGGAGTTAAAACTCTACTTCGGACTCAGTTCGTCCCTAATTCTCGGTCAGGAGACCAATTAACGTTACATTCCTCCATGGATTTCCTCAGTGCCTCCAAGCAAATGCTAGGACAGTTTATTAAACTATGCCTCGACAGCTTTCTTTCCAATCATCCATCTCGAATTCGACGACAGGCATCATCATCAACAACTTTATGGAGTAGGCCACTGGACCTGTTCCTTCTCCTCGGGTTAATCACCGCTGGTCCTTTCAACGTTTTCTCGGTCGTCCCACGTTCCTCCTAGGAATAAGGAACGTCGGACATAGAACAGTATTCTGCGTGGAGGAATTCTGGTCAGGTGATCATACCAATTGTTCCTATGAGCGCTGGTAATACTGTTGATGCTCTCTACATTAAACTTTGTACGAATGCCTTCGTTCCGTTTGTGGTCAAGGAGTGTAAGTCCTGCGAGTGGTCTTAATAGTCGCATTTCTGCTGACTCTGATCTCTTCAGCTGAGATGCCGTAAGCGTCCATGTCTCAGAAGAGTTGGGATGATCAGTGTTTTATAAAATGTTAAAACAGTTTCTGCCCTTATTTTCTTAGGCCATCTAGCATATTCAATTAATAAAGCGTCGTTAAATACACTACGACATAGAAACATATTCGAACAGTGTACCTTAAAAATAGACTACAAGTCAACAAGGTTACCGCAGAGAAGTGAGAACGGAGACAAATACTGGATGGTGTTCTAAAGCTACTGCTGCTGTATCCTGTGGGCGTTGTGTGATTCTGGGGGCAAATTTAAGTCACAGTGGCCTGCCCGTGACTCCAGCCAGTCAGACCCTCTACTGCCATATGATGAAGTACTTTCTGAATTCAGTTATTCAAAATAACTTGCTTACTCTTACAGCTCCGTGGCCGGAAATATGGTAATGCGTTCTTGAATTAGGAGCGAGGTGCCAAATTGCGGAACCCACGGCAAGCATTGTTTGTCGTTAGCAGTCTCTGACACTAATAGCGACAGTGCTGAATGACAGGGTTGCAGAAAACTGAGAAGCATTTTTAAGATCGTGTAGTCAGATATATTTAAAAGCATAGTCACTCAATGCTTCAGGTGATCAACAAGAGGCAGTGAAGACTGCCCGCTTGGAAACCTAGCTCGGACATTATGGAGAATGACCCACGAGTCCGGAGCCAGAGGAGAACTCTTACTTGGCAAAATGAATGGGGAAAAAAAGTAAAAAAAAAGTTTTTTCAAATCACGTGTTTACAATGTAAACTGTTAAATAGCACCAGCCACGCTGACATGACAGCACAAGGGGGATGTGTTTCCAGAGAGTGGGCAGCGGTAGGGAAGGAGACACTCGAATAGGAAATAAGGGGGTGGAGTAGAGTCGCCAGACTCAGGACAGAGACCACTGGAGAGCTGCAGCGAACAGGTTAGTAAACCTTCGAGTTCCGTAAATGGCAGGGAGTTTCTTTACTACTTACGTAAGCAACGACAACTTTTCGATCCGAAAAGCACCTTCATCCTACTGGATAGAGGTACTTATTTTCAAACGTTCTTTACTATCGAGGCTAACAAGTCTCATGGTCCAATGCATCCGATGTAAAATGAAGAATCTGAGATAAAAACAATGGAATTTTAAGTTTTGAAATTTCCACATCGGTGAAAATGTAGATTGTGATCTTGTAGGTTGTTACTGACGTTTCGGTGGAGCGTAAGGCCCCGGTGTTCAAGAATGAATCCTAACCGTTCTTCCGAAACGTCGGCAACCACCGACTAGACTTTTCGGCGTCAGAACCAGACAACCACAGTATCGAAAAACGAAATCATCTTCATCCACAATGGCTACTAACAAAGGGGGAAAAAATAATTTATTTTCCAACAAGTTTCTGAAGCTTGGATGGAGGGTCGGTTGGTCAGATCGACAAATGACTGGAAATTCTGCACAGAACCGGTCTGCTTCATATAGGCTATATTTATTCTGGGTGGGTTTATGATCCCTTTGAAACTGAAGTGCGCAGTGTAACGTTGAACACAACATAAACGTTTATATTACAGATTCCAAAAATGAGACATTAAAGAAATACATCTTTAACGGTGAACACTGTAAACTTTGGCCCCTCTATCATTGTACGCAATCTGAAGAGACTTAAGAGTGCATTCCCGGATGTATCTGGCACGTGATAAAAACCAAAGGGAAGAACAGATACATATGCTTTACATA